TCATTTGTTGCTGTGTCTGGACAAAATAGATGAAAGTAAGTGTAGGCATATATCTTGATAGAAGATTACATGAATCGAAATGGGGCTTAAAAGCCCGTAATTTTATTTACTGAAGATTACAAGATTAAATGAGGTTTCATTTAAACTTTCATTAGTTGAAAACTATTATTTCGTTGTCAAGCACATCTAATATGTTTACCTTATCTATAAAACTCGTCAGTTTTAATCAATTCTATATTATTAGTATTTTTGTTTTTGCTTGAAAGTCTCATATGTACTAATAAAATCTAAATATACTTTGTTTTTCACAAAATTAATTAATTTTCCTTAAGTGATAATTTAATCCCATATGTCCGTCACTGGTTAATCTGTTTTTCATTGCGTCCGTAAAACGATTTCTTACGTTTAAATGTATATTTTAAGTATTATTTTCTCTATTAAGGCAACTTGAAAATTATTTTGAAATCAAATAAAATCAGAAAAATGTTTATACCAGCAAAACATTTGTGAAATTTGTTATAAACAAATCGCAGAATTCTTGCAAATATTTTTGCAATGTTTAAATTAAAATTGTTTGAATTTGTTTGTACAAAACTAACAAAATTAAAAAAAATGTTATAATTTTTTCTAGAAACTAATAAAATATCTTCTATCAAAACAATTTTGCTTTGAAATTTGAAAGTATCTACTGATTATTCACATATTTACAATAACAATATGTACTATACATCATTTAATAATAATATAAATGAAATGTAAATATTTCATTTTGTAAGAAAATAAATTTATTTTTATAACGCAAACGTCATACCAAACAAAAAAAAAATAATAAAAAATAAAAATAAGAAATATATGATATATAGTAATTCATTTGGTGTGATTAACGCAATCTAAAAATAATTATCAAAACATCTCGTGAAGCCACACAAATTCTTGCCTTTGACTCGCCTATGGCCGTAAATCTCTTCAGGTGTTTCTTCAGGGCGTTTGTTGCTAGCGTCAGATCAGAAATGAAAATGTTTGCTCTTTTATATGATAAAAATATAACACTTAAAATATTTCTGTTTAAACAATTTTATTAAAAAATAGTCTCGCATATTCTACAACACAATTTTTTGGATGATTAATTTCGCACTCATCACCTACATATGGAAAATAAAAAATATACTATATATAAAGAAATAATATAAAATTATAGCCAATTTTGTGTAATTCTGTGATTGAAATACTTATTCATATTTATTTATTTATTTATTTATTTATTATTGCAACAAGTGTCTTAAATTAAATTATGGTTTATATTCTGTAACTAACGGGTTTCATTACGTGTTATTATGGTCTGAAATATCATCTATAAAAACTTAGATTAGATTATCTGTTTATTTGGAATGCAGATTATGCCTCGAAGATGATACATATTCTTTGTGATTGTCCAGCTTTAACAACGCAAAGAAGAAACTTATTTCATACATATGTTATTTCTATCACCAGAACAGATTAAGAGCTCTTCTCCAGATTTAGTTCTGGACTATGGGGTCCATACCTCTATTCCTATATATCCTTATGTTAGTTTTTACTTGATTTCCTCATTTAATCGATCCAATAACATGCAATAGTAGACTGATCTCGTTTTTTCTTTTTCCAAAGGGTCTTTGAACATTTTTCTACTTGAATCTCAAAATACGAAAATCAAAACTTTTCCAGTCGAATGTTGAGTTTGTGGCCGTTTCAGAGAACTACCCTTGGACTCTATTCATTCTCTGGCTTGTTGTTTTTCTCAGGTGTGAAGTAGTGGATCTATGTTTCATCAGTTGGCACTACTCGACGCTCACAGTCAGTTAGAAGTGGAAACTTTTACAGCTGTTGTTTAAATCTGTCGTTGCCAGATATACAAACTATAATTGATTTTGTTCTGAAGTTACCACCTGTTTTGAAGTCAGGTAATTATTAATCCACCTAGTAGCTTATGCATCTATTATTTTATGGGCGTCAAGCAAATTACAAGATTCATGGAATAAACAATTGTACGATGAGTACAAATTTTTTTTTAATTTAATTATTAATTGAAATTAATTATTTAGAGGCGTCAAGAAAATTACAAGAATCACAGAACCCTGCCGGAATGGGTATTAAAAATTTTTTTAGCAAAATTTATAAAAGTTAATTTTTTTAATTTAATTATTATTTTAATTTATTTTAATTTAATTATTAATTTAAATGAATTATTTTAAGAAAGTCAGGAAAATTACAAGATTCATTGAATAAACACCAACTCGATGGGTACAAAAATTATCAAGAGCTAATGTTTTTAATTTAATTAATAGTTTAATTATTAATCTAACTAGTAGATGACCCGGCGAACTCTGTTCCGCCTTAAAGGCAGTAAATAAGCAGTTTTTTTTTAATTGGAAAAAATACAAAAAAAAAAAAATACCTACATTAATCATTCATAATTTATTTGTGTATTTTAGTACACATCGCAAATTATCTATTTGTTGACCTCTGTTGTTCGCTCGACCTTCAGTCCTTAAATTTGCAGTATTTCGTATTCTTCTTGCATTACGGCTTTGTCGGGAAAGATTCGATCGTCTTGGTCGTGGCATTATTAAAAAACTAAAAACTCAAATTTTCAACCATACCATACATTATAATTGTTAATTATTTATTTTGTTGAGTTTGCAACAACCAGGTAGTTTTATTGATTAAAAACGATATTTATTGCAACACAAACTTATATTGATCTAATACAACTTTTAAAAACACATTAACTAAGTTATATTTCTATCTGTTAAATTTTAATAAAATATTTTCTTATATCAAAAATTTGATAATTTCAAAACCTACTTTGTCGTGAACGGGATAAACAGGTATCCTATGTCCTTCTCCTGGCCTTAAACTACCTCCCTGCCAATTTTCAGCTAAATCGGTTCAGCCTATATCCTTCTCCTGGCCTTAAACTACCTCCCTGCCAATTTTCAGCTAAATCGGTTCAGCCGTTCTTGAGTTATAAGTGGTGTAACAAAAACACATCTTTCTTTTATATATAAGACTAGTAGATGACCCGGCGAACTCTGTTCCGCCTTAAAGGCAATAAATAAGCAGTTTTTTTTTAATTGGAAAAAATACAAAAAAAAAAAATACCTACATTAATCATTCATAATTTATTTGTGTATTTTAGTACACATCGCAAATTATCTATTTGTTGACCTCTGTTGTTCGCTCGACCTTCAGTCCTTAAATTTGCAGTATTTCGTATTCTTCTTGCATTACGGCTTTGTCGGGAAAGATTCGATCGTCTTGGTCGCGGCATTATTAAAAAACTAAAAACTCAAATTTTCAACCATACCATACATTAAAATTGTTAATTATTTATTTTGTTGAGTTTGCAACAACCAGGTAGTTTTATTGATTAAAAACGATATTTATTGCAACACAAACTTATATTGATCTAATACAACTTTTAAAAACACATTAACTAAGTTATATTTCTATCTGTTAAATTTTAATAAAATATTTTAATAAAGTATTAGTATTGCTGTTAAGCTAGACTTACTTTGTATAGGGACAAAGAAGCTTTATTAAATTTTAGAGGAATTTTTAGAATAACATAGCATAGCTTCTTTGTAAAAGCACCAGAATGGTCGCTTTACATATAGTAAGTAAAAAATATGCATTACAAAATGTCTCTACAAAAAGAGTAGCTTTGAAAAGAAATAAAGAATTAGCAAACCCAAAAAGTTAAACTTTCAATTCGTTGAACTTGTGTTTCCAAAATAAAGCTGTAGTTTTTAAGCTCGTTCTAATTTAAAGCACGGCAAGTGCTTTGGTTGTTGTCACTAATTAAATAAAAATAAGTGACAATAAAACCTGGAACTTGAGCATTGAAAGTTTGTGCAGCCTTGACTTCTTGTGGATAACACGATTAGATCGCTTCTAATTTGACAGGCACGAGTTCTAAGCCTGGCACTTGCAGTCCAAACAAATTATATACGGACTATAAACTAATTAAATAAAATTCGATTATTTCTAAAGACCACTGATGAAGAGTACTTGGCAATACTCGAAACAGCGTTGTATGGTCAGCCGAACTTCAATAAAATTAAAAATAAATTTTTGTGTTTGTACTTTATTTCTTTCTTTGCTATTCGAAAATTCCAATAAAATATTTTCTTATATCAAAAATTTGATAATTTCAAAACCTACTTTGTCGTGAACGGGATAAACAGGTATCCTATGTCCTTCTCCTGGCCTTAAACTACCTCCCTGCCAATTTTCAGCTAAATCGGTTCAGCCTATATCCTTCTCCTGGCCTTAAACTACCTCCCTGCCAATTTTCAGCTAAATCGGTTCAGCCGTTCTTGAGTTATAAGTGGTGTAACAAAAACACATCTTTCTTTTATATATATAGAAGATTATATATTAATTATATATATACATCGAGGATAATAGATAAGTTAATGTAATTTTTAAGTTATTTTTTAATAAATGTAATATTCCCTACTTTATATAATCAGCTCGGTATTCACGATTTCAAGTAACAAGTTCTGTAACCGAGTAACATAATAATATCGAAAGCAATAACAATGCAATACATTTCCAGTACAATTGTTAGCACTTTATCATGTTACTTGATTACCGGGTTTGTTACTCAAGATCGTGTGTGTACTTTTAGTAAAAAAAAATAATTTCTGATATTTCGATTGTCTTCGATAGTCATCATCGGGGAATTAAAAAAATATATAAAAAATTTCGATCGAGAAGTTATAATTTTTAGCATTTTATTTTAATTATAATGTTTAAAATAATTTAATATTTAATTAGAATATCGTTGACTTATTGTTTTAATTAACTAACCAATCAGTTCATTTTACAATTAACAATTATATTTAGGTACATATATAAATAAATAATTTAAATAATTTAGTTTTTTGCAATAAATTTTGATATATAAAAATACTTTTTTTTGAAATAAAAATTTATTAATTGTTTTATTATTACAGGTCCAAATAAACATCAATCAGCTGTGACGTGTTTGCAATCGAATTCTCGATTTGTTGTGACCAGCTCTGATGATGGGACCGTTAAATTGTGGGATGTTAAAACTGGAGATTTTATACGCAATTTAGTAGCACTGGATTCAGGTGGTTCTGGCGGAGTTGTATGGAGAATAAGGTACAATTTAATTTGTTTTTTTAAAAGAGTTTTAGTAAATCAAATTTGTTTTTTTTTTATCATTATTTTCAGGGCAAATGATACAAAGTTAGTGTGTGCAGTTGGATCACGTAATGGAACTGAGGAAACAAAATTAATGGTTTTGGATTTTGATGTTGAGGGGGCCTGTGTAAAGTGTTCATAGAAAAAAAATTTAGAAAAAATTAATTTGATTGAAATGCCACCTCTAAAGAATGCGTTTAAAATAAGTGTGTGTTTAATAATGTATCTTCCAAATCGAACCATCCCTATCTAACATAGTTATTTTTTTCTTCATTGAAGAATGTTATTAAATTAAAAGGTTAAATTGTGTGCCTAAAATGGTACGTACTGCTTGATGAAGCATACCAAATTAGATCAAAATCAATTCGATCCTTGTAATTATGCTTTTTATTTTTGCAACGCCTAGAAAAATGTAATAAATTTAAAACAAACTGGATTAAATTTACAAAATGTTTACGTTGATCCATATTGTTAAAATGAAGATTTTCAAACCATTAAGTGTATATATTACGCTTGTTGATCTTACATTATTATTTTTTTAGTAACATTTTGTTTTAAAATGTAGGAAAATTAATTATAAATTAGATTTGGTTTAATTTTGATTTTGTTTTTTAAACCTACGTGAAATAAAAATTGTTTAATTAAATTAAAAAAAAAAACAAAAAAAAAAAAATTAGAGAACTACATCATGTCTCAATGAAAGCTTTATATTGTATTTTAACAAAAATTGTTTACTGTTACCATATTTTGAAATGATTTTTCCATTTTCAAATGTCTATTTTTGAACATTATATTAACTGTTAATTACTTTCTAATTTAGTGATATTTTGTAGTGTTTTGTTTATTGGTATTTCTGTTTGATATAGTTTGTGAGAGTAACTTTAAAAATATGTTTGAAAGTGAAAGTTTCACCCGTATGAATATTGTTTAAATATGTTTTAATAATTCTTGTTTGTGTTATTTTAAAATTATATATTATCAATGTACCAAGAATTTTTCCAAATTAAGTTTTATTTTTTAAACTAAAAGTACACATTTTTAATCGCGTCCTACATTTGTTAAAATAATAGTTAATACATTTTTATTCATAACTATATTATATTTGTATGAGTAATTATAATTTGCCACAGAAATTGCCACAAATAAAAATAATCACACATTAGTTAATGTAAAAAATATGTAAAGAGACGATACTGATATAGATATCTATATACACATAAATATAAAACGAACAAATAATGCAACAAACCGGCAACACCAAATTATTAGAAATAACTTTAATATATATATATATATACAGAACAACATATTCGTATCGAATAGTTTTTAGTCCGCAATAGCTTTCAGTCAGGCAAAAGTAAATATATGAAAAAAAAGACATGATTATGCCCAATACATGCATTAGAAAGATTTAATGTTTTAATAAACAAATTATAAAAGCAGTCTTGTGTGTATGTGTACTATTGTAAAAACAAACAAAAATTAAAAACAAAATAACAGATACAAAACAAAGTAAGCATATATTAAATTTTAATTATAGACTGATTTATTAGTAACTAATCTATATTTTAATTATACGCATAAATATTGTCAGTTTAAGAATAATAGTTGGCAACGCAGCAAAGTATTTTGTTCGTTGTTGTCTAATATGCATATTATTACAAAAAATATTTAAACTAAAATTAAATTATAATATATATGACACGAAATTTATAAATAATTAACACAATATAAAAACATACATATTAATATGCAAGTAATAACAAATCAGAATAAATTTTAATTTATATAACAATATAAACACAATAAAAATATATATATTCGGAAATATATTAAATAGAAGTCTTTTTCTTATTTTGTGGTCTTGTTAAAACTGCAGATGTATTATATACACATATATTTGTTTGTTTATATATTTATTTTAACGAATAAATATATTAAACCAATGACGGTTTTTGGGAAGATGGTTTGGGATTTAAGCTTCTCCTTAAAATGTTTCGGACCACTTTACACTTGATATGTGAATTACTTTCAATTAAATATTAAATACATTATTTAATAGCGTACATTATTTTTTTCCATAGAAATTTTAAGTTTTTTATAGATTTTTTATGAAGCAATTTAAGTATAATTTTAGTGGGATATTAACTTTTAATTTTGTAACACGATAGGGCGGAATGAGTTTATCCATATATAGTCTAATCTATATCCAATTTTGCCGATATAGCTTACTTCTTTATATATCGATGCTTAGGTTAGGTAGGTTAGGTTATACCGGTGATCCCTAGTAGATCCACTTAGGCCTATTGGCCCATTGTGATGCCGTATATAAATAATAAAAACCTAAGGGTTTAAAACCACCTCGAACCTTTTGCGAAGCATAAAATGCTATTTAAAGCCCGATCCTGCCCGATTGAAAAGAAGACCTAGTCTTCTAGCATGGTTCCCTAGTTTACAGTGTCCTGTAGTCAACCCTACCAGAAGACCAATGTCCTTGCGGGACATCTCAATTAGAGTTTTCGATTTCCTTTTATCGGAAAGTGGCCAGATTGCATACAGATGTCTACATATCGTTGAGTCTTCCCATCTTTTATTAAAAGTATTAGTGCAGAAAGAACTCAATATCAGTTTACATGATGTTAGCGATATGCCCAGATAGTCTAGGTGCTCCGAGTATGGTTCTGAAGCACCCTTTCTGGCTAACTCGTCTGCTTTGCAATTTCCGAAAATATCCCTATGGCCGGGAACCCAGATTAGAGAAATATTGAGCTGCGTCGACATTTCGTTTAGAGATGTGTAGCAGTCAAGAACCGTCCTAGATGTAAATTGGACCGAACTCAAGGACCTTAATGGGTGGAACCGAACTCAAGTGAGATGGGTGGGAGTCTGCAGAAATCCCCAAGGTATCAAAGAGTAAAAGTGCCCAGATGCACTAACTCGGAAAAGGTTCAACATAATAATTATTATAATTAGTATTAATTAATATTTTAATATAATCAGATGTGGAGCTAGACCAACTCTGGACGTCGGCGACATCAAAATTGTGAGATCACTTTCATCACCAAATTATAAAAGTGAATAATTTACACTCCCTAATACGACGAAGTACGTATAAAAGTTTTATTGCTGATCAAATTAAAATTAACACAAATTAAAATAAATGAATTTTCCTACTTTTAGTTTCACTGAATTTTTTTTATAATTATATCATAATTTTCCCGAAGTATTAAACCTTAAGCATTACAATGCTTGAGAAGTAAACTTATAAAGTAAAAGTATTCGTTTGGTAAACTTTTCATATGATTAATGTCATATATGAAACCAAGTTGTTCAAAATATCCTTTAAATGCTTTGAATCGACAGTTGGTATCAATTACGATAGCATCTATCATTGTGGTAAAAAAGTTTACTTTATTCTAGTTTTCAACGGATTGTATGGGTTCATCAATATGTTCATAACTGAACAATCGTTTTTCTTTGCTATATTTTTTTCTTTAAATCTAGGTTCAATCTTGTAACTACTTTATTCTACAAAGGATTGGATGGTTCAACGCTTTTTTCAAGTTCAACATTACGATAGTCTTTTATCTAGTTGCGAAAAGAGCATAGGCTGCCAATAGCGATGTTCAAGTTTAGTTCAGTCGATTGCCATAGTTTATTTATATTGTTCACTCGTAAAATATTGTACCAGACGTGTAGTGCAACAATAAACTTGACAGTTAGCAATTGCTTTGTAATCGCTTAGTTTCAGAATCATCAGATTTATTTATTAGGTCATACACGATTTCAATAATATCATCAAGTTCCAAAAATATCACTTTTACTGCTTCGATTCTACTCTCTAACGCCTCTGCTGATCTTTGAGTCACGGCGCCCGACACTTCCTTTAAGGAGTCAACCCAAATGTTTAGGACTACAATATTGTTGTGGATACCTGGATCCCGTGGTACCAGATTCACACTTCCGGTTGGGAGCCGCAAGTTAGACCCACCTACAACTACCATTTACACTCCAATGTCAATTTCATTGGACATTGGATTTCAGTCGCTTCTTACGACAGGAATACATTCTCTCCCTTTTCCCGCGAGGTATTGTCAAATATAGACAGACGCATATTACTGTTTTTTTGCTGAACTGCCTAAATCAAACTAAGCCTACCGCCTGTTAATGTTCTTTAAGTTGAGAATCCTTACAATACATTTCGCTTTTGGATTCGAAACTCTGGTGCTTAGCAAAAAGCACTCGCCGTAAGTGTTTTTCCGCATTTTAGAAAACCCTTCAAAATGTATACAACAAAATATACTCTTTGAAGATGTTAATGTCAAATAAAATAAGTAAATTTAATGATAATATCAAAACTGGTTGTATTTTACATGTTAAATTTTAAAAAATTAGGTTCATAAATGAAAAAAAAAATATTTATTAATTTAGTAAAAACTAATATACGAGTATATAGTGTGATGAATAAAAATGTCAATAACAAAAAAAAATTCAAATAAAAAATAAATGAAGTTATTCAAACCAAATATTATATTACTTATAGAAACTACATTTTAGAGCGTTTATTATTATGCCCTTCAATACCAATAATGCAACGAGAGTTAACATCATTTACAGAATTAGTACTTATAACACCTGATACTGCAGATGTGCCACCTGGACTGAAAACTATTTCACCAGTACTTGGACGTTTTCTATTGGGCGAATGTACTGGTGATTTTTGTTTCAGACACTCAACGTCATCAAATATAACTTGTGCACCACCTCCACATGTGGGTATAACATTCCCCTTGTAGAGTTTTGTCTCAACATCACCATCTGTGTCTGCCTCCTGTGAGACAAGGCAATATTTGGTCGCTTTATGACTAGTAAGATCTTTCATTTCAGCTAATTTTGTAATTGATTTACGATTTTTGAGATAAGGTTGCAAAATTGTACCTAACGGTACAGGATTAGGTGCGCGATGCTCAATCCATCGTTCGCCAGTAGATCTTGAACGTCGATGACGACTATTAGCAGCAGCTGCACCCTAAAATATAGAAACCAATTAGTATACCCCCCTTAATGCATTCGGTAAATATTTACCCGAACATGTCTGGGTGTATAATACGTATCAGTGCGCGTTGTAGTTACTTGAACGGAATCAACAGGTGCTGATGCTTGCATTGTGGACGGTGTTTTCGCTTCGAATAAGTTTTCGGAACTATTAGAGCGAACCAAGCTGGCTATATTTTCAGACTGTATAATATTAGATACCAGTCGCAATTTTTCATCCTTTAAACGCATTTTTTCTTGCAGTT